TTTTCTCGAGGAGCTTACTTCCTACTTGGTGGAAACAATGAATAGGCAGATAAGAAGATACAAAATGTCCGCAAAGTACTTTCGGCAGGGGTGAAGTGTTTGCAGTGATCCAGAGATGAAGGATGAGAATAGGAATGGCCCTATGTAGGGCATGGGACTTGGGCTAAACCTCAAAGGGGAGTTATAGGCTCCAAGAGGCAGAAGGCAGGATGGAAAGAATTCGGAACATGTGCAAAGGCAGTGAGACAAGAAATGGGTAGGATGTTGTGTGCTTAGAATAGAAAGCAGGTCAATTTGGTTAGAACACAGGGTGTGTGAGGTAGGCTAGTGTGAAATTAGTTAGAAAAGATAAAATGGAGATAGACTATTATGTAGGGATTCAAATTACAAGCAAGAGAATTTGTATCCTAGAGGCAAAATACCGAAACTTTTTTTTTAAGCAGGATCATAGTTTAGCTTCATGCAACAGGAAAAAAGCTGCCCAACTCTGCCTCCAGATGCCACAATGCATTGAAATATGAATGTCACATGAATTAAAATATCTTCTATTTAAAGATATATAGGAGAGATAATACAGCAAAGTATCCTCAAAGAATAATTAAGGAAACAATACACCAAATGATTCAGTCATTTGGAATTTGGATTTCTGGGTCATAGCTAAAAATACAGGAATGATAAATTCCTGGCTAGGATGTGAAGTATATTGAACAAAGACTGGAGATGTATTTGTCTGATGCTTCACCAATCTAATCAAAGGGGCTTTAAAGGGAAAAAGAATGGGAGAGAAAACTGCTGATATTATCCTCCAAGTTAGATCCCATACAAAATATTTACATGAAGGAAGAATGATAGTGAGATACCCAAAGGTTCAGAGGAGACAAAATCCAAGAAAAGAATCTGTAGAAAAAACTTACGGCCTGAAACACCTTATATTCAAGAGCCCAAAGTTGAAGCAATGGGGGATTTTTGAACTGGAAATCCTAATGCAAGGAAGCAAATTTGACTATCACTGATGTTTTGGTGGGATGAAACCCACAAGCACAATGTAGCTCTGGATGGTTACTTATTTGAAAGAAACAGGATAGGTAAAAAGGGTAGACTGAGATAAGATGGCATTGTATATTAAAAAGGTGTTCTCATGTGAGGAAATCCAGGACCCAGATCGGGGAAGCATAGTTAAGAGCATTTGAGTGAAGACCTTTGGAAAGAAAAATAGAAACAGGTGAGGAGTTTGGAAAACATCACAAGACTAGCATAGAAGAAAGGTAGAATGTGATAGAAGATTTTAATTATCCAGACATCTACAGAATCTTCCTCTCTCCCTCTGTTCCTCCCCTCCCCCAACAAGGGGAAATGGTATTCTGGATCTGATTCACATTCTCAGGAAGGAATTGGTTACTGTGGTAGAGATTAGGTGAATCTTGAGGAAAAGACAAAGTACTTCAGAATTTAGAGGAAAAAAACAGATTTCAAAGGGTTCACAGAATGGCTAGGTTTTATCTCATTGTCCAAAATTCTTCAAGAGAAGTACACTCAGGAGGAATGGGAAAGTCTCAAGACTGCAGCTCTGAAGGCACCAAAGGAAACAATCCTGATAAGGAGCAAGTTGTCTGAAGAGACTGCTATGGCCATGCAAGGAACTCCCCAACAAACATGGGTTTTAAACAGCTACGGGCAAAAGATGGAAGTAAGAGGCAACCACAGAGCAGAAGCACAAATGTGGCACAGTTCTGCAGAAATGACGTCAGGAGTGCGAAAGCTTGCAATGAATGAGCTAAGGATGGTGAAGAAACCCAGAGACAACCAAAGACGATGTGGTTTGTTTTAGCTGTAGTACGGAAAAGATGGGGATCAAAGAAGACATAGTAACCCTGCTCGGGGTGAATGAGACAACGATAACTGATAACCCAGAGAAAGCAGTGTTCCATCATTGTTTTACTTCTGTCTTCTCTGTCCAGGAGAATGTCCTTTGGTTAGAAATTACAAAACAAAAAATAGCTAAGGAGAAATTGATACCCAAGATAAATGAAAAGATAAGAGAATACCAGTTGACCTTGATGATTTAGGGTAATAGATTCAAAGGCCCCTGAGTCCAATACAGTCAGTTTACTGATAAAGTAACTTAATCTCAGAGAAGTGAATTGCCCAGGATCTCACAGCTAGTAAGTGCCTTAGATGTGAACTCAGATCATCTTGATGCCTAACTCCTTGGTTTATCCACTATACCACCTAGCTGACCCC